CTGAGGTTAAACGTGATGAATAAGTCACTTAGATCACGTCTAAATGTTAATGTTTGGTTTATTTCAGTGTTTTATTTGTTCCTGAGTAAGCTTCATAACATATTACTCACAGTTAAATTAAGAGGGGACGGCAGTAAAAACTCCGGACCTGTGACATCATCAAGTACGCTGGTGTTCCAATTGTACAAATCGCGAGTCCGTGCTCGCGTTCTCGGCGAGTCCGGATTCGCCGAGAACGCGAATACGGACTCGCGAACTTCAGAATTGAGAAAGGGCCCGAGTTAACAATAAAACCCCTGAAAACCTTAACACACACCGAGCCTTAACTCTCGCCGCCCGGTACCAAAGGACTCGGGGGTTGGGCACCGCTGCATAATGACCAACAGGGGGCAACTCCACTGGCTGCGGAAAGACCAGCTGCTCTTTGACCTCATTAACCCTCCTGGGTTTTAAAAGCCAATTTTTAGCATTACTGAATACAACATGATGTCATGTAGGAGAATAATGCAGAGTATTCATCAGGATGGAAGTTGCTACTAATATATGTGAGCAGCATCTCGTGATTTCACAGTCAGCCCAACATGTTTATTACATGTTTAATGCAGCAGCTACAACTATGACTTTACACCGTCTGTGTTGTTAGTCAGCAAAACTATGTGTGAACGCACAAAAACAACCTGAAGCCACATCTAAGTTTAAAAGTAGGAGCCAGATCGTCCTCACAATGCAGATATGTCCACATCACGAAGGTCCCCAAGAAGGTGAGTAAACATACCACACACATATTTGTTTTCATATCTTAGTGAGGACATCTCATTGACATGCTTTCCCTGGCTGCTCAGCCGAAACCCAACCACAACCTCACCGTAACCCTGACACTAAAACCACATTTTGAGTCTCAAAAATGCCTCAAACTCGTGAATGTTGGTCCCCACAAGCAGAGATGGGCAGTAACACGTTACTTGTAACGCGTTACTGTAATCTGATTACTTTTTTCAAGTAACGAGTAATGTAAGGGATTACTATCGCAAAAACGGTAATTAGATTACCGTTACTTTCCCGTAGGAA